AGAGAAGCCATTCGAGTGCAGCGTGTGTCTGAAGAAATTCTCAGACTCCGGCCGTCTGAAGATACACGCCCGAATCCACACAGGAGAGAAGCCATACGAGTGCAGCGTGTGTCCCAAAAAATGCTCATCATCTTCCAGTCTTATTTCACACATGCGAACCCACATAGTAGAGAAGCCATTGTTTGAGTGCACCATCTGCGCTAAAGAATTTTTATCAGATGTTGGTCTACGAGATCATTTGGCAATCCACACAGGAGAGAGGCCGTACAAGTGCAGCGTGTGCCATAAGACATTTTCAAGAGCTAGCGATGCGCGCAGGCACAGAGTGACCCATAGCGAGGAAGCGCCATCAAAGTGCTCAGTGTGCGACAAGAAATTTAAGCATAGAAGCAGTCTTATCGTTCATAGTCGAACCCACACCGCGACCCACACCGGAGAAAGGCCGTTTCAGTGTATTTTGTGCCAAAAGAGGTTTGTGTCAAACAGGTATCTCCGTCGCCATTATCGAACCCACGTAGAGGAACGTTTTGAATGTACTGTGTGCAAGAAGAAACTATCGACAAGCACCGGGCTCCGCAGTCATCTCCGAACCCAGCACGAGTAGACGTCATGTTTGTTTCTAGCATATTTTCTTTGTAGCGCGTAGTCGCTAGTAGAGATATGGAAGCCGACTGGGACTCATGATGTTTGCGGCGCGCTGCTAGTTCATAAACCTAAATTCTTGATTTGCTCTATTTTTTCATTTGACAATGTTTTGTGTTTGTTTTGAGGCCTAGTTACTTTTTGTCCAACCCCTTTTATGTCTGGGTCTTGCGACCGTCATTGCTTTGACTAAATTCACATGACTAGTCTCGTTAAGTATATCCCAATGTGAATTTGTATTTATTTTGTTTTTGTTTGAAGTTTATAGTGCGCTTCTCGAATAAACGCGTTCTACCAACGTCTGTGTGTGTTTGTGTGTGTGTGTGTGTGTGAGAGAGAGAGAGAGATGCTGGCGATGCCTCGGCGTTGAGCGGGAAGTTTTTCCGAACAGGTCAATTTTCTGAGTGGAAAACAGAACAAATAGAGCGGCGACGAAAAACAAACTATGGACCGTGCCTGTCGCGAAGGGGGCGGACTGGGTTGGGG